GTATACATGTTTACATATATACGTATATATATATATATATACGTATATATATATATATATATGTATATATTCACATATATATATGTATTTACATACACATGTATATATTCTTCATTTATTCTAACATTCATTCATTTATTCTTGCACGTGCAGACTTTCAACTTTGTCTATGTTTTCCTTCCAAATTGTTGCAGCTGCAGAAAATAATCAAGGATTCGGTTGTCTTGCGATTTTGCTGTTTTGTAAAGGGTATCCAAAAATACTATAATAGGTTTTCACTTATCTTCCTAGCCGGAGTAGCTCTAGTCTTCATTTGCTTATATGGTCGCATCACTTTTAGGGAATGTCACATTGTCTACACCATTCTTACTTTAACACCTTCCTACAATATTACCAAAAATAATGGGATTTTGCAAGGCAGGATGGAAAGACGAGCTGAAGACGCAGGAGACGAGGGGACTGAGCTCATTCCTGGCTATCCTATAGTTGTGGTGGAAGACAGAGAAAACTTCCAAAAGTTGGTGGCGAAGTTGGAAAATCAGGAGTTTATTGGTATCGATTCCGAGTGGAAAGCACAGTATATGTGTGCGAACGAAAGGTGTGGGTTTTTACTGATTATTTTGGAAGCTATTTGAAATGTGTACAAGTTTTGCAGTGTGGCTCTTCTTCAAATTGCAATCATTGATGCCGTTTATTTGGTGGACTTTTGTGCTCTTGAAAAGAAGTTGTCGGAAAATGATTGGGATGCACTCTTGCGTACGCTTCTTTGCAGCCGAGCTAGAAAATTAGGTATTTTGGGTTTCTTTCCCTATAAACTCGATTATATCAGGGAGTTGTAATTTTGAATCTACAATCACTTTATTTACCAGTACCTTTGAGTGGCATGAGTAAGGTCTACAATGAGAAAGAGTTATTTCTTCAAAAAAGTACGTGGTCCAGAATTTTTTGCGAGCTTTTTTCTTCAAATCCTCGTGGTTTCGCTTTGATGGATTTCTTGCTTCGTGAGGAATTTGTAGCACCCTGCGAGCATAGCACTCGCCGTTGGAAATCCTCTTGGAGGGTGGAAAGACACGAACGAGGCATGGACTGCCCTATTAGGTGTTAGTCTACCTGAATGCCTCTAATTTCGATACGTGACGTTTTGTACGAGCGCGATTTTTTTT